TACCACTTTTCATTTCTATGTGATCAGAGTGAAATTGGGGGCCAATACACTGGACTCCAGTATTCAGTATGGGTTGTTGAGACCAGCAGAACCGGGAAGACCAGAGGCTAGCTAGGGGCTGGCTCCATGGCCTGGTGGCTAAGGGAGCTGGATCCCACATGGCCAACCACAGTGGGAGGCCCAGCCGCAGCAGCTTGAAACACTCGTCTGGCAAATATTTGTGCATGCCCCAGATACTGATATGATGGAGTCATGGAGAAGGGATTGCTATATGATCATGTCCCATTGGGGGATGCCTTCTCTGTCCCTGTCTGGTGAGTGCATTAGCCCTTGGGCTATTAAAACAAAAGGAAAAGACAAGAACTGAGCTGCCTGTGCTTCCCAGCATCATGATAACACTGAGGCAGGAGGGTCCGCTGCCCTGTGCAATATCACATCACACACTCTGGTGAGGCCACGCTACGGAATCGAGATAAGGTTTTTCAGCCTCAGTTGTCCAGTCCTTCTGATTAACCTGCAGCATTTCACTCCTCTTTCACTAACATGCAGTGCATAAATTCAAGTGGGGATGTGTTCGGGAGTTACTATCAACAAGACAAATGATACGGGCCTCACAAACAGCGCCTATGATTCAATTATTCTTAATTAGACAGTGCTAATCTAAGGCAGAATCATCCTGCAAGATCCTTGACGCCTCCCTGGAGATAGCAGCTTTATTGTCAGAGCAGCTGCCTCCTTTACTGCTAATTCCAAACATACGACTTCCCTCTCATCTTACTGCGTTTTGGGGAGTTCCCCCTTGAACCTGTAACTGCTGTCCTATCATTATGTTCCTAACCGAGCCACAGAAGGAGCGATGTGGGGTTACAAATATGCCTCAGTGGCACCACACTGGCTCAGCCATCAACAGATTCATTCCCATTATTTCTACCTGGCTTGTCTGTTTCCAGGTTGGGAACGGAAAGCACTTTCTAAAACCCTGTGTTCACTTGATCATTACAATAAACTTGCTGGCTGGTGTTCAGTAATTATTTAGCATAAAAAAGTATGATACTTATCCATGATACATTTATAAAGTGAAGAAGTATGGCATATATGCTACCCAAAGATGCACATTCAGACCTCCTCAGGTGTTCATTTGGGTCACCCAATGATTTTTTTTTTGGGGGGGGGACTTGATTTTTTTATTCTTTGTTGTTGTTGTTGTTTTGTTTTTTTTTTTGTTTTTGCTATAGAGCACGTGCACTCACCAGACAGAGAGACATACAGACAGAAAGCGAGAAATCACCCCTCAGGGGGGATGGCCACGCCGCAATCCCTTCTCCTCCGTTCTCCTCTCAGGATCTTGGGCACACACGCACACACGCCCGGCGTGAGTTTAAGCAACCGGGTCCAGGACTCGAACCACAGTCGACTACATGGGAGTTCAGCAGCATAGCCATTACACTAATTGCTGGTCTCAAGGTGGACTTGATTTTTAACGGAACATTGACTGAGACTTTTTCTGTTTCCAGATATTGCTTTTCTTTTTTCAGAGACAGATTTTTGCTATAGGGCCCTATGTGTTTACCAGAGAGACAGAAATAAATGCAAATAAACTGCATTACTTTTATTAATAAACACATCAAATTATTGAAATGATGACTTCATGTGGTTTTCTTCTTAAAGATGGCTCTAGCGGATACAAAGATGAGATGTCTACAGCCTTCAGATGCCTACTGAAATGAGATTTTTCAATAGCTGTTTGATATTAAGTTTCAATAGCTGTTTGATACTAAGTTTCCTCATCTCTCTGAAGATCAGGATTTCTCCATCATCAAACTAATGTCTTTGATTTAGACAGCTAGCAAAATTCAAACATTAATCTCAAATCTATTAATAATACTGGAACAATCTAAATGCCTGGTTGTGGCTCCCATGTGGCCGTGGTTTGAGTCCCAGACCTGGTGGCTTGCTTTCTCACTTTCCCCTTCTCTGTGTCTTTCTCTAGTCAGATTTTAAAAAAAACAATAATGATGCTGATGAATAAAATTAAATAATTCTTTTAAAAAAAAGAGTAGAGGCCTAGAATGCTCCCAAACATCCAGGCTGCTAAACATCCTATGAGTCAACCCCCCACCAAGAATGATCTAATCCACGCTGTCAATAATGCCTCTGTTGGCAAGCCAGGCTACAGGTAAGTAGGCAATTACAGAATGTGCTTTGATACAAGGAAGCACAGAATGCCGTAGCCACGAGTTGGCAACTTTAGCTGGTCTTAAAGCAGAGGAATGCTTCCTAGAAGTAACAGCTGTACTGAAATCTAAAGGATGTGAGATCGATCCAGGCAAGAAAAGATGAAGTAGACTTCCCCAAGTGGAACTGACTACAAAGTCCCAGATTTAGCGATTATGGTGAATACTGGAAACTACTGCAAATTGGCAGTATCTTTACCTAGCTTAGATTAGGCCATGTTGATCTTACCTATACAATGGCAGCAGCCACCCGGCTTGTCTCCACGCCCCCATTCTTGCTCCTTTTGGACTATTCTCCAAAATGTAATTGAAATCATCTTCCTAATGCATGAATCCAGAACATTCCTGTCTTGCTTCAAACCCTGCCATGGCATTGCTGGTGATAAGCAAACTAAGCAGATGGCTTTCTCCTCTTCTGACTTAAAAGTAATGGACATGGCTGTCCGTGAGAAATTGTGTACCATGAGGACAGAGAGTGGACCCTCTGAAGAAAGTGTAGGCTTCAGAGCTGGTGGACCGGGTAATGTTCTGAAGCTTCCAGTATTCCCCATAGAACTGGGCTGTACCCTGAGGACAGGAAGCCTGGGAAGGACATTTACAGACCAGGAGACACAAGAGACTAGAGATTTGTATAAAGGCTGCAGATCACTGGTTGAAATTTTCTTCCAGTAGAGAAAAAGTGCATAGGATGCAAAAATGTCAATGTTGATAGGGGAAGAAGCCTGCAGCGGATACGGCAGGGGGATAAGGTATTTGTTCTATCACCTATTCCCCCTTGTTTCATAATCCTTTAAATGTCTAGCTCACTGTTACTCTCTCCAAACTACTATATCTTCTAGCTGATTTCAATAATCACATAAAAGTTTTGTTTTTGTTTTTGTTTTTGTTTTTAAGTTATAGGGTATGAGCACTTGCTGGAGAAAGACAGAGAGAGGTAAAGTGTTAGCTGTGCACCAGTGATAAAAGGCAAGTTATGGAAGACTGCATGAAGTAGGAACCATTTTTAAATCTGTATCTGTATGTGTTATATATATGTGCATAGCAAACTGGAACACCAAATGTTTTCAGTGGTAGATGGATAGGAGAGACTTTTAATTTTTACTTCATATATACATATAGATTGCCAGAAGGCATGCGCACCTGCTTAAGAAAGACTAAACAGATGAAGAGGGAGAAAGAGAAAGCATACCCCAGTGGGGCATGGTCATGCCACAATCTCTTCTCCACTTCTCTATCCTGACAGGAGTTTGAAGCACACATGCCTGCCGTAGACTTCAAGCCATGAGGGCCAGCATTCAGACCATGGTCAGCTATGTGGGCTCCAGCCCCCTTAACCATTAGGTTATGAGGCCAGCCCAACAACTTTTTTTTTTTTTTAACGTAATCTTACTTTTCATTTATGCCAGAAGGCTCATGCAAGACAGAGAAGGAAAGAGAGAAAAAGCACTCTAATGGGGTCTAGTCACACAGCAATTCTCCATCCCATCAGGAGCTTAGACACACGCACAGTGACTGGCAGATTTTCAATCTACCAGGGCCAGAACTTGAACCCTAGTTGATCATACAGGACCCAGCCTCTTCTGGTCAGCACTTAAGCACTACACTACAAGACTGGGCCTCAAATACCTTTAAAAAAAAAAAAAACTATAACAAATAATCAAATATGCAAAACTGAGAGCTGTTAGATTATAACATTACTGAGACTTTACAAAGCAAAAATAGTCCCTGGCACTGAAAGTACACCCTTCTCTAGATCTGAAATTTGATCCCCCTGTAAATCACAGGAAGTACTTGGTCAATAAAGTAAGATACGGTCTGCTGCCTACACCACAGCTATCTCCCACATCCCTGGCCTCCCACCCAGCCAACTTTATCCAGAACCCTGACGCTTCCCTACTTCTAGCAGCCATTCCTCAAAGGAAGGCCATTTCTAAGCTTGGAGTTTTGAGTCAATCAGATAGCTTTATTGCCTTTGCAAAGTGACTGTTTTAGAGGTAGGCGCTGCTATGACTACAAGGACAAGTAAAACCTTCCTCTTTAAAAAAAAAAAGGGGGGGGGGCAAGAGCATACATTTCAGCCTCTGATTGTCATTTGTCACCTGGATCATTTGATTTGCTTTCATTTTGACGCCATGAGGAGAAACCCAGCTCATGTGGGGAGAATAGTAATGGACAGACAGAAGGTGCCAAGTTCAGTATGTTCATGATGACATTGTTCGGCGCTGAATTAGCCAACTCAGGGACTGCCTTCCACCAGACTCCTGGTTATCAAGCATTGCAACCCAAAAGTATCTCAAAAGTAGTCTTTGATGGGAACCAGCAGTTAGCGTAATGGCTATGTCACTGGACTCCCACGTAGTCGACCGCGGTTCGCGTCCCAGACCTGGTGGCTTAAAACTCACGCCGGGCGCGTGTGCGTGTGTGCCCAAGATCCCGAGAGGAGAATGGAGGAGAAGGGACTGCGGCGTGAGGAACCAGCAGTTAGCGTAATGGCTATGTCACTGGACTCCCACGTAGTCGACCGCGGTTCGCGTCCCAGACCTGGTGGCTTAAAACTCACGCCGGGCGCGTGTGCGTGTGTGCCCAAGATCCCGAGAGGAGAATGGAGGAGAAGGGATTGCGGCGTGACCATCCCCCCGGGGGGTGATTTCTCGCTTTCTGTCTGTATGTCTCTCTGTCTGGAGAGCGCACACACCCTATAGCGAAAAACCTCTCAAAAAAAAAAAAAAGTAGTCTTTGATTGCTATAATAATTCAGACACATTAGTTGAGAAAATTAAGCATTTATTGGATGTATGTTTATTTAGTAACACAACATACGGTTTCTCAACAATGAACTGAACTCCTCCAAAACATAGTGAAACAAGTTTCCATTATTCCCAGGTTAGACCCAACCCTATCATTTTATGCTCTTCTTTAACAACTGTCAAAACACACAACATATTTGGAGGAAGATACTCACATTACTCAAAACCCAAAATATTTTAAAATAAAAAAGTAGCTTTAGGGTAGTAATCTCTACATATCACAGTACACCATGATGCCATTCTGCAATTTCACAATTAGTATTCAAAACATTAATAAACTTATGCAAAATGCTTGGAAAAACTGAAAGCCTACGACCTTTTCCAGTTTCTGATGTCAGGAACAGGTAGAAGCCACCAACTCCTTCACAGATCTTCTGTTATACTTCAAAACCACTGGTCCGGCTCTCCAACAGTGATGACAAGGCACGTGATGTGTGCACGTTCTGCGAAGGGTAGAATGGATGACATATTCTACAATAATACAAGCCCTGGATTGTTTCTGCGTGACAAAAAATAATATTCCAATATTCCCTGAAGAGATTTTATACAAAGGTTGAAAACAGCTATTTTCCATCATAGTCAAAGTCAATTTACTTTTTAAATGAAATATACGCCGCTGCAGTTCCTTCCCTGATTTTTACAAGGGGTTGCTATGGTGTGTTAAGTGTGTGAACACTCAGACCTTATACATAAACCAAACACAATCAAGGATTCACACCAGCTCCAAAGGTTGATATTAAACTGCCCACGGACCCTCCAAACAGAATTAGTGAGAGAAATTTTAATGGCCTTTTGTTTATCTTTTCAAAAGCTTTTTTGTTTGAAAACTGAGTTTACAGAAAACTCTAAAGAAATAGTCTCACTAACTATTTAGAGTGATTGACAGGAATGAGGTGAAATACACATTTTTCATTTAGAAGTTAAGTTTGCAATTGATACACAATTTTAAATTACCCAGTCCAGTATATTATTCTATATTTCTCTCCTGATTCTGTAATTGCCAGCCATTTGATAACATCCATCCTCAGTTCTTTTCAAAAAATTCTTATACCACTTTTTAGACTTCTGTCGTAAGTGTATATAAATTTAAAAAAATCTAGTTACATGTTCAATGAATTAAGAAACAACAAACATCTGAACAGTTTAGTTAGACTTTAACAGGCAGAAAATAGTTGCTTTGGCAATGTATAAAAACATAACTGTTGTGGTACAAATCATTATTTAATCTATTTTTATTAAATATTAAAATGCAATTAAGGCAATTATTGTTTTAAGACATGTGAAATTGTATGTAATAAACAGATAACTGGTCCCACAACTGACATATTGCACCCCTACTTTTTTTCTCTATTTACTGTAAGGAACCAATAAAAATTATTAAAAAAAAAAAAAAAAAGATCAGGTGGTCTTTCTAAAAACATCTCAAAAAGGTTTTGATTACTACTAAGGTATTTATTACTTTCAATACAAGCATCTGATAAAGATGACGAAGAATAATAACTTCTAAGGTTTTCCCTTTAGCATCTTTCTGGCATCTCCAGTTCTGTTGAATTTACTCAAAGTGGTTCAACTCACAGTTTTCCTACTGAGGAAAAAAGAGATGATTTATTGTTTAATCTGCCATTCCAGGCAGAATGGGGATTCTCCAACCTGGCTCCCTATCAGTGTCATCTGGGCAAACCGAGCATCAGATTCCTGAGCTCCCTGCTTAATGAAGCAGTCCCTTCGCTACCACCTCCTGGGAGAGTGTGGAGTTATTCCTGGATAATCCCACAAACAGGATGAATAAAGCACCCAGTTAAAAAGGAAGGTATCTGTGTTTCCACAGGTCCTATCATGCAAACTGGGAACCACTAAGAAGATACAATGTGGAACTACTGCCATTAGATGATCGGTGTACAGGGTGACCAGGAAACAACTTTTTAACATCTCTGAATCAAATAACGCTGGCCCTGCTGGCCCCTCCCATGGAAGCTGTATTTTTCCTGACCCTGCAGGGCCACAGCAAGCCAACAGTGACGTAGGGAGGGGGCCACGATTCAAAATGTAAATGTTTCCACCCGTTTCTCTTCCTCTCTCTGTCTCAGTTCTCCCACGCTTGTTCCCTCTTTTCCCATATTCTGCATTGTGCCATTCTCACTCTTAGTCCCTTCCCCTTCTACTCCCTTTTCTCACTTCCTCTCTTTTCCTTCTTTTTTGATTATTCATTTTTATCATTCCTCTCTTCTCTACTTTCTCTTCCTTAAAACTCTTTCCTTATACAAGCAAAATATATACTACCAGACATACGTGTCAGAAAACATCAAGCCTAAGGAAATGGAATGATGTGTGCAGAAGACGTCAGTCAAAACAGACCGTCAACAACCACACTGGTGTGGTGTAATACGAGCCACACAGGATGCTTCCAAATCCCTTCTCATTTCGAAGTCTCATCTGCTCCTGAGGTGTGACGCACTTATTGACCATACTTAAAGACCTAAGGCACAGAGAAGTGTAATGACATAGCTGAGCTTCCTAACCAAGAAGAAAATCCAGATCTGGTTCCCAATCTGGTCTTCCTTTTTTACAGTGACATCTGACTAGAGGCAGGATGAGAGCCAAAGAGAAAGAGTGAGGCTGTTTCAGTTCTGAAGTGTCCAAAGGTAACCAGTTACCTTGTACATTAGGAACTACTCTTCCTAAGGAGAAAAAAAAAATGTATTCTCTTAATAGGGAAATCACAGTATATATTTTCTAAAGGTTTTCCAACTTTTAAAAAGATGACTTCACACAAATGACGTCTGACTACATTTTAAAGTCATTCCACTTTGGTAATAGTGTAGCCCAGAGATAGTTCTGAGGTCAGAATTGTTCTAATACATAAACTCAAAGAATATATACAATACTTTATAGAAACTGCATAGATACACTATGTTTTAGGAATGACTGTTTATATTGAAAATCATGCAATCCGTTCTCCCACATGCACGATGTTCTCCAAACTGTCCATCTATGATTCAATCTTGTTAACTCTGAGGACTACATTTCTTGAACATTCTCAAGGAAAAAGTTATCTAGTCTAAAAATAAATTCATAAAGTTTGTTTTAAAACTATTATACATATTCTGTGATACCTTTAGTTTTAGGTAAAAACAGTCTCTAAATAGAGAGTTTTTCACTGTAACTCAACAGCGAAATACTCAATTAGGTCAGGTCTGAACAGACTACATGAAGAACCCTCCAACCCATCCACACTGTAGATGCGCTTTACTTACACCATCATGAGTGAGACAACAGTATATGGTTCAGCTGGATTTAACTATGACCACACTTTACCTGGTCCCATTCAATCGAATTACAGCCCATGGGGCCGAGAGTCTCCATTCACAGAGTAAATTAAATCTTAAGAACCTTATTAATACAAATGCATATACACTGTCAATAACCTCAAATGCTTCCTGTAATGTATTTCAAAATCAAGACCTATGCCAAGAATTGTGATTTATTTTTACATCCTAATTCCAACAAACCAACCAAAAAATGGCATATTTGAGACAACTGGGAAAATTGGCTTAAGGCCTAGATATTAGATGACGCCAAAGGACCGCAGTTACTTTTTTTAGGTATGATGTCACTATGGTTAGTCATAGTGGTAAAAAAACATGATGTCTGAGAGTCTTTAAAATACTTCAGCAAAGGTGGGCCAATTCCATGGCCTGGTGGTTAGGCAACTAGATCCCACATGGCTGACCCTGAGGTTCTAGTCCCTGACCCAGTGGCTTAAGAAACACCCTGGGCACATGTGCATGTGTACTTCAAATCTCAAAAGGATGGATTTTTGGAGAAGGGACTGCAATATGACCATTCTTCGAGGGAGTGCTTTCTCCTTTTCTCTGGAAAGCACAAGTGCTCTCTGGCAAAATTTTTAAAAATAAAAATAAAAAGGGATATGCTGGAAAAAAAGAGATAAATGAATACAGTTAAGATATGGACAAGGGTTAGCTCTAGATAGTCAGTACCACCACACCATTTTCTCTACTTTTCTGTAAAATGTTCAAATCTCTTCATTAAAAAATGTTTGCAGATTCCACGTGCAGTCTGCCAGAGTTTCCAATGGGTGAGGCATCTCATGACAAGTTCCTCTTAAGTATCTTATGTAGCCAGGTAAAGTGGTCTTATTTGGAGACCATTAGAAACTTCAAAATCTTAAGATTCTCATTTTCTGCACAGGTAGCTAATTTCAACACAGTTCATAGGTTCCGTTATTACTCGCCATGGCATTCTGCCAAGGAAGTACAGCTCATGCTCTCAACCCAACTGTTCTCAAGGTGCCACACAAGTTGTCAACCTCTGAGGTACCTTTCTTAAACCCTCCTCTTTTGGTCTGTCCCTCCTGAAATGCCGAGGACGGGGACAACTGTACCAGCCTTCTCTTTCTGCATAGTCCATGTCACCAGAAGGTACCGTGTCTTCACAAAGCCAGTCAACACAATTTTCACATGAATGGTAGTTTTCCATCATGCTTTTCCCTAATCCCTTTAAGCATTACAACACCAAAGAGTGAAAAAGAAGACAACCAAGGTACTTGGTAAAGTGAGATTAGGTACTCCAACACACTAGTAAGTGCTCAGAATCTATAGGTTTGTATTAAGACAGCAGATCAAGAACTCCAAGACAAGTAGTACTTTTCTCATCTTCAAGACTAAAAAAAGAAATTCACTGTCTTCACTGTCTTACGTGACGTTCAAAAAAGGAAAGATATGCACACTAACCCAGTCAGGACTCATTTTTCTACAGTCTGACGTAATAGTTTTGTTGACCCACATCAATCACTAAAGTTGTCTAACTTTTGAAAATTAAGGCTCTATATATATTTGCTTCTTCAAAAATATCTTACGAAGCCACTTTGAGGTAGAAGCAAAGCTTAAGTGGGCCACTTTTTTCTTCTCCATTGTAACTAAAATCACTAATCACAAGAAGTACGTAGCTTATGTGTTTTTGGTCCATCGTACTGCCCACCATATTAGTACACTATTAAGGTTCTCACTTCATCAACATAATTTACTTCCAGAATGCCCAGTAAAGCTGAACAGTTTTACTTAAAGTGATAAAAAAACAACAAAAAGAGAAAAACAAACCAAAAAACACCTCCAAATATATGTTTAACAATCTTAGAGCTGAGTTTTGGCAAAACAGTTTAATACATAAAAAATAACACTATCTCTCTCTCCCTCTCTCTCTCTCTCTCTCTCTCTCTCTCTCACATACACCCTCTCTCTCTCTCTCTCTCACACACACACACACACACACACACACACACAGAGACACAAACTCAAACTCCAGAGTTTTTCTATTTTTCCTCTTCCTTATACAACTCGTGGTTTTTAACGTGCAGTTCACTTTATAATCTAAAAATAATCTTAAACATGATTGTCACAAAAATACTTTAAAACAGAGATGAAATGTATAAAGGCACACACAGATTGTCGACGGCTACATCACATTTCTTTAGAAACAGAACTGCTTCTGCTCTTGTAAACAACTTGTTTCTCACACACGTAAAGTGAGGTTAGTGCTGACATAAAATTATTGCTATACTCACAGTTTGAGTGTTTCCACTGCATTTGAGGTACATATTCTACATCCATACCCCCTACAGTTCTTACTCACTTGAGAGTAAGGCAACAGAAGTCTGCAGGCTATAATCAATTAATAGTATTTTCATCAATACTGGAATGATAGCAAGCAACATTACAAAACATCAGAGAGAACAAAGGTCTTCTTATTGGAGCCCACGATTTTCACTTGTTCTTCATTATGTGAATATACTGCTCATTTAATTCTTCAGGAAAGGAATTACTGTGGAGATAAATAATCCCTTCCTGAGTACTTCATCTAAGACTATTCCTTCATACTTATCCTCTGACACTCTGCTATTTTCATCCATTTGATTTAAGTTACCAGAGATCATCACCTTCCTTTTGGCGGTCTGTCATAACGTTCTCTTATGCTTTTGGTTAGCTGCTTGATAAATATTTTGTAAATTTTCCCACAGTATGTATGCACTGTCTTTTGTAGTTCCAGTTCTAAATTTCTTAATAAGGAACGGACGTTGTCATCTTCAAATGAACACTAGAGAAAGAAAAATCAAAAGGCAAAGATACATATAAAAACTTAATTATTTTCCAAACAACTTTTTCAATTAGTTTAATATTAATCGTTCCATTTAATGTCTCATGAAAAGTATCTGCTCAACCAATATTTTCAGTAAATTAAACAGAACTATGAACTTACATGAGAAAAGGAGGACAGTCATGGTAAACCTCTGGGGGATAAGAGAAGCTTTTAGGAGAAGGGCTGATGGGGGAAGGGCATTCCACACCAAGAGAACACATTCAAGGGCAAAGAGACGCAGACACTGGTGTAAGAGGACCGAAATCTCTGACAGTATCTGGGAGAAACTACTGAACACTGACTGGTTTTAAAAAGGCCTGAGGTTGGACAGTGACACAGTAGCAGAACCCTATGCACTGTGAGGCTGATCCAGATGGGAATGCTTCAGGTTTGCATCCTAAGACCTTCCTGAGAATGCCAAGCATCCATGTGCAGGATGAGAACTGGCTAGGGCTGGGGGTATTGTGGTTGTGTGCATGTCTCTTTCTCTTTCATGGAAGAAATAAACACAAAAAATCTTTATATAAAGGGGGGCAGATCTTACCATGCACTCTCTCACACCCCACCTTCCAAAAATCACTCTAATCATAATGTTGAAGCTTGACTGGAAAGGAATGAAATAGAGACATGGGGTGGGATAAATATAATATGGTAACATGGTTCACCATTTCCCAGGGTCCTAACTACACACAAGGATCCCAAGCATAAATATATTAGAGAACTTCATTAAAAAAAAAAAAAAGAGAAAGAGAGAGAGAGAGTTTTGCCATAGGGCCCAGGTACTCGCCAGAGAGACAGAGATGCCAGAAGAGAGTTATCACCACCAGGGAGGATGGCCACACCGCAATCCATTCTCCTCCACTGTCCTCTCGGGATTTTCAACACACATGTGCACATGTCGAGAGTGAGTTTCAAGCCTCCAGGTCCAGGACTTGAACCACAGTGGGCCACATGGAGTCCAGCAACATAACCATTACGCCATTACTAGTCCCAATATATTAGAGAACTAAATATCATACATGCCTCATCCCCATTCATACAGGCAACATGAAAAAGTCTAAAGAGTAAAACAGAAAATGCCCCTATTGAACATGGTTTGGAAGACACTGTAGTAGCTAGCAATCAACTAGAAATAATTTGTGATTTTAGTATTCTCAGCCAGGTTTATTTAGTGATCTAGTATTTTTAGCTAGGCATATGTTCAATAAAAAAGATTGATGGGGCTTGAAAATAGATGTTACATAAAAGATTGAAGCCAGTAAAAAAAGGCAAAATACCAAGAAAATTCAGAACCTCAGTTCCTTGAAGGCTGTAAAGGCCCAGAGGCTCTCCAGGACAGGGAGAGAAATGAAAGGATGGCACTGCCCCGAACACAGCCAGTCAGTCTATAGGAAGCTGTAGTCGGCGGGGAGGGAGAATCTTCCCTCAATTACAGATCTAGTAAGTGGTTAAACCAGGATTCCTCCCCAGAGGCCTACCTCTAAAAATCCAAGGGTAACTACCACACAGCATTGTTTAGAAATAAATAAGCCAAAGAAACATAAGAAGTCAGTGTAGAAAATCCTGCAGCAGGATTAAGGTCAATGAACAGCAGAAAATTGGGAAAAGTGTTGTATTTACATGCCTAAATTTGTTTACAGAGTTAAAAGTAGCGGTCAAGTTAAACATGGTAAACTTCGTGATACTGTGAAGTAACATTTCAATGTGCATGAAGAAATACTGGAAAACTGATTCTGAGGCAGATAATAATAGGAAGCTCAAATTGTGATCTTTTTATACCCACTATTTTACTACACAATGAAAACGAAGTGAAAATGCTATAAATATGTTTAAGATTTAAAGGAAGGCTGCTGATTCCTAGGACTATGCAGCCCTTGAAATTCTGTTTGCTCATTTTCATGTGACTTAAATCCCAGTGTCTGTGGTTAAAAAAAAAAAAATGGGGGAGGCAGCAGCCTGGTAGTAGTTAAAGATGTGAAGGGGGAACTGGATCCCATATCCACGCTGGAATCCCAGCCCCAGCAGCTTGAAAAACACACTGGGTGCACACGTGCACGTGCCCAGGATATTGATGGAATGGAGAAAAATGGACTGTAGGTCTTGGGGCAGGGCGGGGGGGCAGCGTGGCACTTTCCCCTTCCTCTCTCTGTTGTGCGCATAAGTTTCTCTGGCAAAGAAAAAAAAAAATGGGAGGGCCAGGTCTGTGATGCAACAGTAATACACTGCTCCAGCAGGGCTGGATCCATATGGAGGACTGCAGGTTCGGTTCCCTGGCTGACCTGCACACTCTACGTTCTCTGCACACATGCCCATGATCCTCGCTGGGAGAGCCAAGGGGCTCGTGGTGTGAGATCCTACTGAAGGTACTTGTCTTACTCTCTTTATGTAACACCCACTCCCAACTCTCATGGAAAAAAAAAAAAAGACAAGTAAACTTCTTTAAAAATTTATTTTCTACACTGGGAAAAAAGAAAATCTTTCAATTACTTTCTGAAATAAAAACAGTGACTCATGAATTAGATCTCTTTCAGCCCAACATATGACACAGCAGTCTGATCTTTAAGGGAGAAGATGATAAAGTAGCAAATTTCCACCTCTTCTTTAGAAATTTATTTTCTACACTGGGAAAAAGAAAATCTTTCGATTACTTTCTGAAATAAAAACAGTGACTCATGAATTAGATCTCTTTCAGCCCAACATATGACACAGCAGTCTGATCTTTAAGGGAGAAGATGATAAAGTAGCAAATTTCCACCTTTCTAAATACAGCCTGAAGAGACTATATTCTGCAGTTCACATCATTTGAAAGGCTGTGTGGTGGACATCCTGCATCCAGGTGTCCCTCTCTCAGAGCACACTGCCCTCCCCTGACTGTGGGCCTCCTCTAGCCTGAGTTCTGGGCCTAATTTGCCCTTATCTTTCCTTCTCTGTCTGCTGCTCATCATCCTTACTGCTCAGCTCAAATGTCAGCTCCTCCAAGGGGCCTTCTCTACACGGCAAATCATGCCCTCTTTCACTGGCATGCAACCCAGTACACGAACTTTTAGGAAGGTCACACTTTATGTACAGGAACGTCAGTGAAAGGCAGGGAACAGCAATGAGGCTACAGTGACCACACTTAGGCAAGGTGAGGCGTCCTTAAAGAACAGAACGTGTGAAAAGTACGGCAGGACGGCAGTGGAGCGAATCCTGAGTGTCAACTACACACACAGAGGTCCTGTGGGAAGGAAAACAGTCAAGACTTCGCTGTAGGGACATTATGCAAACACATGCAGGGTGTAAGTAAATCAAGGTTAACACAGAAACACCAGGAAACACAGTAACTCAGAATGAGATACATGAAACAGAAGGTACCTTATAGAGCCATAAAATGTTTTGTTCCCGTTTTGAGTTCGCAATTTTTAAACTTAATAATTTTATTCATTCAACTAATACTCAAATATGTATGGACTGTAAAAACTGATTTGCTGGCAGACACAGCCATGCATTTACATTTTAAAGATGGTTCACGTCCTTTATAATTCATATTATTCACTGTGTTCCACGGCTATGACTAAGCTTCTGTCTGAAACTTGCATAAATACCCTTCTGAATGTAATTCTTTAAAAATTACACTTCTCACTGAATTATAGATAAGGAAAGATAAAAACACTAACCAAGAGTACCATAAAAGACTGATTAACTTCATTAAGGTGAAAAATGGATACATATAAGCTGTAGTTAACACAGACCCAAAACAAACACGAAAAGTCATTAATTCAGTGTTTGAAATCATTATAAACATAAAATCTATTTTTAAAGAATCAAGTATAATTAATCAACTTAAAACTATTCCTCATATTTTAAAGATATGTATTTATAATCCAAAGGAAAAAAATCAAATAAAACCAGGGAGATTTAATACTCTAATAATAGATGATTTTAAATGCTCAAAGACAACAAAGGAATCCTATTTTTGTAGGGATACATTTTTATACTCCAAAGCCTCAGAACCCCAAAAGTACTTTTCTTCATTTTTATTATCTCCTGAAAGCCTATACATAAAGCATTCTTAAAATATGGTATTAATTTCTGAAAGCTTGTAAGGTCTGCAACATTAAAATGAATATTAAGTTTTATAATTCTTCAGTGAGTATAATCATATCATGATGAACTGATTATTTAGAAGCATTATCTGTCAAGTTTGTAGGTCAAAAAACTTAGCAAATAATACATTAAAACAGTAGCCTACTATTAGTAGTGCTAATAGCACTGTCTACCACGGAGTGGAAGAAACACTGACTTCCCAGAAACTTCTCCTTACCGTGAAGAACCATCACCTTACCATGCACGCCATCCCATAGCCACCTCACCCCGATCACTTCCTGCCTTCATCCAGCACTTCAGTCATACCACACGGCTCAACACCCAACCTCCCCATGGATCTTTTCTGAGAACCTTTCTCTCGGGTAGTTCTCAGCCCAGACTGCATGGCTCATCTGGCAAACGTACTCATTCTTCAGGGCCCACTTCAAATACCTCTTCTTCAATGAGGCCTTTACTGGTCCCTCAGGGCAAAACTGCTGTACTCCTCAGGGCCCTAGCACAGTCTCGGTCACACGGATTCTAGTTCAGCGTCTTATCTCACTCTCATCGATGAGGCAATACGAGGACCAGAACTTTTCAGTCACTAGCGGGAGTGAGCACCTCGCAAACGAGGGCATCAGCTCTTCTCCTGACCCACACTTAAACAAACTAGTCTACTATTATGTTTCGTCTTCATGCCTACATAAGATCATGCACAGACTAGCAGAACAGAGAGCACACTAAGTTAATACACCCAGGATAAATCCAAACCTCCTTTGAATCTGCCCAAGTCTTGGTCCCCAACATATTCAGAGGTCTGGCTCATGCAGTTATCTAGAGGCTTATGCAGGATACCCAGCTCTCCTGTCAACACAGCTTAATTACATAGAAGGAGATTAAAACAAGGAGGAGGACCGAAGTCTGGAGCTGGCGGAGGAGGAGCAGCAGTTTTTCCACGCTCAATATGAAGTGAATGCTTAAAAGAGAAAATCCCGTTTACAAAAGTGACAAAAAAGATAAAACACCTAAGCATAAATTTAAGATATGTCCAAATCACATAAGAAGAAAACTATAAAAACATTCCTGAAAGACTGAAGGAAAGATAGCCTTTGTTCTATTATTTAGGATGTCTCCACATTATAGAAACGGCAGCACTATCAACGCTGGCCCATAATGCAGTGGTCAAGAGCTGCGCATAGAAAGCCAGATTCCACATGGCCGACCATGGTTCAAATCCCAATCCTGGCTACTTGAAAACCATGCTGAGCATGTGTGTGTGTATGTCTCACATCCTGACAGGATATGTCAATGGAGGAATGAAGGAAAAAGGACTGTGATGTGACCATACCCCATGGAAGAATGCTTTCTCTCTTCCTCATTCTTTCTCTGGCAAGTGTATGGACCCCCTGGAAACATTTTATTAAATGTCAGTGATTCCATGACACCAGCAGATGCTGTAATGGTTACATCACTGGACTCCCACGTAGTCGACCGCTGTTTGAGTCCTGGACCCAGCGGCTGAAAACTCACACCAGGCACATGAGTGTGTGTGCCCAAAATCCCAAGAGAAGAATGGAAGAGAAGGGACTGTGGTGTGGCCATGCTTTCTGGATGGTGATTTCTCACTTTCTATCCATCTCTCTGTCTCTTAGACAAGCACATATGCCCTGTAGCAAAAATATCTCTCTTTAAAAAAATGTAAGAGAGGCCAGCAGATGGCATAATGGTTACATCACTGGGCTCCCACACAGTCAAATGCAGTTCAAGTCCCGGACTCAGAGGCTTACCACTCATGTTGGGTGCATGTGCTTGCATGCCCAAAGCCCTGAGAGGAAAGTGGAGGAGAAGGGAATGTGGTATGGCCACCCCTCTTGGGGGGTGATTTCTAGCTTTCTGTCTCTCCAGAGAGTGCATGCACCCTATAGCAAAAGCAGCAAACAATGAAGGTGGTAAACTACGGGCTAGGGGGTGGAAGGGGTAGGGGAGGGAGCAGTCCATCTGAGTAAGTCCTTCTATAGCTCTGACATTTGAATTACATCACTGTTTCACACAGCAGAAAAATAAACCTTATCAGCAAGGACAGGGAAAAAAATTAAAACTGAAAACATACTAAATAGAAGGGCCCATAATATTTTATTTCAAATGAATAAATAAGCAGACTGAGAGGGAGGAAAAGAACGAACTGGCCCACATAACTTCTGTACACAGCAGTGAGTATACACTCTCGTCAGGGGGCAGAAGAGAGGAGGAGAAAGAACTGGAAACAAGCCCTGAACCCTTTACACTAGGTAGGTTGGCTGTTTGAAAGGAGGAGAGCGGAGGTAATGTATGAGCAGAGTATTTCTGACATTATTTTAAATGTACTCTAGATTAAACAAATGAGAAAATGCATGGGTGGTGGGAGTCAGGATTCTAACTGGGAGAAAGGAGATAAAATACAGAGTTTGGAAGGTAAGGAAGTGTCTCAGAGAAAAGGAATAGACTTGGGGGTATGTGCGTGAACACATGATTTGTGTGGATATGTGTGTGCTCTCATACTTCCTAGGTTTGTCACTAAAAAGGCATGGAAGCAGACACCGTTACAGCAACACACGTGCTAACATCCAGAGCCTACTAAAAGAGCCAGCGTTCCTTTGACGGAGCTAATTTCGGGGGTAAGGCAGAGAAAGAATAAAATAAGCCTGGAGCATTGGGTTGTCGGAAAAGTCATGATGTATTTTTCTGTCCTTCTATGCAAAAATGCTTCGTGACTTTCCAATAACCCAATATTTCGTTGGGACAGAAAATGAAGTACTCAAGAAAAGGTTGGGGACGTGTAGCAAGGACACAAGAAATCGCCAAAAGGAGCTCCCAGTGACCGAATGTGGAACAACTTCAGCCTCAACTCAATTAGAAGGAAATAATGCATTATACATCACTGGGTGGAGAGTTCTTACTGGGGCCAGACCTTAGTCTAGTGGCTAAGAGGAGTCATATCCCCATGGCTGGTCATGGTTCGAGCCCCAGCCCCAGCAGCTTGGAAAACATGCCAGGTGCTGGTACATGCCCAGAATCCTGACAGGATGGAGAGCTGAGAAGGAATTGTATGACCACACCCCTCTGGAGGGTGCTTTCTCCCTCTTTCTGTTTCTGTCTTTCTCTGGAGAATGCACACATCCTATGGCAATTAAAAAAAAAAGAAAGAAAGAAAGAAAGAAAATCATACTGATTATGTAGAATCAGTAAACGGTCATTCTGGTCCCCTGCTACAGAATTCCAAGTGCCAAATATTTCTGTTAAAGTGCTAAAATTGGACACCATCAATGTGCAACTACCACAGGAAAGGCAGTTTAAACAAAAAACCAACAATGGATGCCAAATCTAGAATGGAAATTTCGATGAGAAGCAGAACATTTACATGATTTTAAAGATTCCCCCACGGATGGCTTACAATAGGAAAAGCACACTGCAAAGAAACTGAACCACATGTTGACTGAGTGATCAAATTCGACATCACTGACGATGGGCAGATAAAGGTTACCGTGACTTCTGTACAGTATTCTGACCAGAACAGCACATCCTGAGTCCAATCACAAAGAAACATCAGAGAAGACAAAATAAAGAACATTCTAGTAAGAAAAGGGGTGGGGAGGCTCTCCAAAAATGTCAATGCCATAAAAGACCAAGAAAGACTGAAAAACTAGGCTAGATCAAAACAGAGTAAAGACACATGGATGACAAATTAAAGTGTTATATCCGCATTAAATTTACTGGGCACGCTATCTGCACTGTAGTTAAGAAGACAATGTTCTCATTCTTAGTAAAAACACACTGAAGTGTTTATGGTTAAAAAAAACAAATGGTTCACACAAACACACACACACGAAAAAAACTTACAGAGACAAGGGCAAAGCAAACAGAGCAAATGTTAATAACTAACGGCCTTGAGTAAAGAGTATATGGGTATATGTAAAGTCTGCATACCAGTCTTGCAAACTTTCCATAAACTTGGAAGTATTTTCAAATTTAAAAAAAAAAAAAAAAAAAAGCAGCTCTTACATTTCTCAGTGCTTCATAAACAGCTCTAAATGCTGGTTGCTTATCGTCGTGGTAAACACCTCTGTTCCCGTGAAGAATAAAGATTCCTTCTTCTTCTGCTTCTTGGCAATTGCTTCCATATATACAATGATCTGGTCGGTAATTCCATTGACATGGAAAAACATAAAGGCTTTCTACGTGAAGAAAGACCAATCAATAATGCAAATACCGCTAATTCCACAGACCTAACATATTGTAAAAATTTGGTTTAAAAATACAGCTTTTACACAGTAAGATGGCAAATAATAAAAAAAATGTATTTGGCATTTAGATTCTAACGAAATTAATATTCAAGGAAAACTTTACTGTCTTAAACATAAATAATGGTAACCATTTAAAATAAGCCAATATCAAATAAATGAATTTCTTCCTTTTTGATTATATATTATGTGTGGCTTTTTTTAAGAACAAATGCAAATAATAAAAGGAATTTAAATGATTACCTGGATTATGAAAAAACATGATATTCAAGAGATCCTGATCACCCCATGTGATGTTCAGTTTGTATTTTTTCAGCAGTGGCATAAGTATGTCTCCCCATCGCAGTCGGACAGTTGTCATATCGTTCTGTTGATGAAAACATTAACAAGCCCTCAGACTTCCAAGTTTCAAACAGCAGTGTGATGACAGTTCTCTCTTTTTCCCTTAGTAACCATTACAGTGGCACAAGGAGAAATGTGAAATCCTTTTGGTGCAAAATCAAGTTATGATTGTAACCTCATCTGAGGAGGGCTGTCCGTAGGGAGCAGAAGACAACCAAAGATAGTATCTTGAAGCTAATGGTAGCAGTAATAAAAACGAACAGAAGTCAGGAAAGGAAGGGAAAGACGGCAATGGCTTAATTTCTTAAAATGCAGATATTTGAGGACCTATATCTGTCTCTGTCAGAGCTATTGAAGATTAAACTTGTTAATACAAGGAGACTTTAAAAGCTCACAGTAAATGGAATTAAAGTACAAGTCTAGAGGCTAGCAGGTGGCATGGTGGTTGAGGAACTGGACTCCCACATAGGCTGATCGTGGTTAAAGTCCTGGACCTGGCAGCTTGGAACTCACGCTGGCCATGTGTGTGCATGTGTGGCCAAGATCCTCGGAGGAGAATACAGGAGAGGGGATTGTGGTGTGGCCATCCCCCCGGGAGGGTGATTTATCTTTCCTTCTCCCTGTCTCTCTCTGGTGAACACATGCACCCTATGGCAAAATCCTTAAAAAAAAAAAAAAAAAAAAAGAAGGAAGGAAAATCATGTGTGTACATGCCCAAAATCCCAAGAGGAAAATGGAGAAGGGACTGTAGCATGGCCATCCTCCTTGGGGGATGATTTCTCACTCTCTCTCTCTCTCACCAGTGAATGCACGCATCACACAGCAAAAACTTTTTTAAAAAGGTACAAGTTTGTTTTGGTGTAAAATATTTTGAAACCCATGCATATATTTTCCATAATATACATTTTCCTTGAACTTTCTGAGGACCCCTCATCTATAAATACACGGTGCTTGTACTAGAACCTAGCATATGATACCTACTCAGAATTAGCTGCTATTACTTTTACCATGATCATTTTTATTCTGACTGATTTGCCTTTTTCTTCTTAAAAGACAAGGTGTTGCACTATTGCAATCTTCCAGCCTCAGCCTCCTGAACAGCTGGCGCTACAGGTACACTCTAGGAATCAAACCCAAGCCTACCATGTGGCCTCAACTTGCAGAGCAGCACCATTTTACCAGTGTACACCACCAGGGCTAGGCCATGATTTGCTACTCTTTTATAACTGGCAGTTTGAAAAAAAAATCACTTGAAGTGGATAAATCATAAACACACACACGCACACAGTATGCTTGACAAAAATCAAGCTGTGTGGGGGTGGCAAGTGGCATGATGGTTAAGGTGCTGGACTCCCACATGGCTGACCACTGTTCAAGTCTTGGACCTGACAGCTAGCTATTTCACTTTCTCTCTCCCTCTCTCATCAGATTTAAAAATAACAATAATAATTAAATAAAATTAAATAAATATTTTTTAAAAAATCAAGCTGTGGATGGAAAGGGTAAGATGAAGAGTGAAGAGGTAAAAATTGATCAGGACCAGTAGTTAGTGTAATGACTATGTTGCTGGACTCCCATGTAGTCGACCACTGGACCTGGTGGCTTAAACTCACGCTGAGTGTGTGTGAGTGCACGCCCAAGATCCCAAAAGGAGACTGGAGGAGAAGAGATTGCGGCGTGGCCATCTCCCTGGGGGATGATTTCTTGCTTTCTGTCTCTGTCTCTCTCTGTCTTTCTGGCGAGTGCATGAGCCCTATAGCAAAAACCTCTCCAAAAAAAGAAAATAGAAGCAGTAAAAATTTATCAACTTGGGACCAGAAGATGGAGTAATGGTTATGTGGCTGGAGTCCAACGTAATCGACCCTAGTTCGAGTCCTGGACCTGTAGGCTTAAATCTCACGCTGGGCACCTGTGTGTGCATGCCCAAGATCCCAAGAGGAGAATGGAAGAGAAGGGATTGTGGCATGGCCACCCCCTCTGGGGGGTGATTTCTCACTTTCTATCTGTCTCTGTATGGTGAGCACATGTGCCCTATAGCAAAAATCTCTCGAAAAAAATTATCAACTGTTGCATTTCGAATAAATAATTCTCATAGAGAATTGGCCTTTTTAGGATGGATTTTCCTATTCAAGGATATGCTATGGCTATTTGTTTAACTATTCATTTGTCTTCTCATTAACATTTAAAAGATTTTCTCATATATTATGTGTGTGTGTGTGTGTGTGTGTGTGTGTGTGTGTGTTTGTGTGTAGCCAATTTCTTTCAGATTTCTTCCTACGTATACTATTTCTTTTATAACTATTTCAGTGGAGGTCTTCCATCTTACCTTTGAAAAGACTGCTACTTGCACATTAGGAAACACAAGCAAATAGCTCGGTAAAGCGGTACCACAAATGACACAAAGTCAAAGATTTATTAGAGGACATAACTGGGTCCAGCCTAGAGGGTGTACGCTCACCATCCAGAGGGAGGTGAGTTAGGGAGGAACACAGCAGCACTGCAGATATGCTCTAGGAAAAGGATCCCAGACTCCTGATGTCTCTCGTATACAGAAGAATTGAGAGCAAGGACAGATTCAAGGACACATTCAGAAGACTAAGCTCTGCTAACAGCTACCACCTAAAAAGCAGCATTCTTGGGTATGGACAAACTGGGAAGTTTCTTATGAACACTGTCTCAGCAGGAGGTCATCTTATGCTACATGACAAAGAACCTCTGGAGCCAACACAGAAACTGGTTTGTCTCTTATAAAAGAAGCAATTTTAGTATTTCAGTTTTCAGTCCAGCCAAATTAACCCTATACTGTTGTTGTTTACAGTAATTTTTAGTAAGTTCTTTAGGGCTTTCCGGTTACATAGGTAGGGCAACTACAAAAAAAAAATGATAATTGTACCTCCTAGTCAATTTTTATACCTGTTATTTGTTTCACTTGCCTAATATGAAGGCTTGTTTCCCCCATGCTGAGACTCACTAAGAAATTATTACTTAATAAATTGTAGAAATGAGTATCCTTATCTTTTTTCTTTTTTTATAGAGACAGATTTTTGCAATAGGTCACGTGCACTCTCCGGAGACACAGGGACAGAGAAATAGAAAGAGAGCAATTACCCCCCAGGGGGGATAGCCATGTTGCAAACTCTTCTCCTCCATTCTCCTCTTGGGATTTTGGGCACGCACATGCCCAAACACAAACACACACACACACACAAGGCATCCAGAATGTCTTTCAAGCCACCAGGTCTGGGGCTCAAATGGTGGTCAGCCCTGCTGGAGTCTAGCAATGTAAACATTATGCCATCTGCTAGCCCCCCCATGTCTTGATTTTAACTGGAAAGCATCTACTATTGGGCTGTTAGAAAGCCATGATGCATTTTTGCACAGAAAAACAGAAAAACATGTCACTGACTTTCCGACAACCTCCTTGAAGCACAATGCTGCCTCTGAACTGAGATCGGAACATATTCCTAATCCATTAATATAATCTATAGATTACATTAATAATCCATATACTAATAATCCATTATATTAATGACCCATTAATTATATTAATAATCCCAGTAGATTATTTTTAGTTTTACAGGATAAATGCACTCACCAGAGAGAGACAGAGGCAGACAGAGATGCCAAACTTCATCAGGTACCTTCTCAGACTATATTCTTATTTAAAAATAAAATGTCAAATATCTAAGGATACATCTGTGAATCTGGAGTGAGAAGGGATGGAGCTGAACACCAAGTCTTTTAGACCTGTTTGACTCCCTTAAACTATCCAGACTATAAACCAGTACTGCACAGTGCAGTTTACGGAGTACCCTAACCTAATACTTTTTATATGTCCTCAGTAATTTCAGAAATTAAGAGTAACATTTATAGGGGGCGAGCAGACATCATAGTGCTTAAGTTGCTGAATCGATTCCACATGGCCAACTTCACAGTTCAAGTCCCAGACCCAGTGGCTTGAAATAAAATGCCAGGCACATTGTGCATGCATGCCCAAAATCCCAAGAGGAGAATGGAGGAGATAGGATTGTGACATGGCCATCACCTGTAGGGGGGTGATTTTTTTCACTTTCCCTCTTTCAGTCTCTCTCTCTCTCTCTCTCTCTTCAGCAAGCACACTCACCTAATGGCAAAAAAAAATCTTAAAAAAAAAAAGTAAGATTTATAATCTTGTTAAACAATTTAATGAAATAATTTCATGTCTATTAATATAATTTTTTCTAGTAATTATTTATATTATATTTTATGCCAGTATTGGCTCATGACATATTGGCTTGGTGTTTAAAAGACACTGACCCTTCTCCATAAACAGTTTGGAAAACACTGTTATAAGCTGTTCTATGACATACAATAAACTCACTGAGGGTACTCATTTATGTGCCAATGCTAGAAATGGGGAATTCATCAATTCTCAGATTAGTTACTCCACTTTGAAAAGTTATACCCCCTTTTGGCAACATGTTCATTGACAGCATTCTGATCTCATAAATTATGCACATTAACACGATAAAAGTTCTCCATCTCACACATCTTCCAAATACATAAAAACCATCTTGTCGACCTCATAAAAAAAGTGTTCTCTATTCCAGTATCTTTCAATAATTTACTAATAGCTTTGTTTCTAAAACTTCCATCTAACTGTCTTTCACCAGTAATTATTTCCTAAGTTGCTACTTTATGTCAAGTACCATTTGTTAAATATTCTTAATGCAAAACTGTCCAAAAAACACACCCTGCCTTCAGCAGCTCGAAAAAACAGACCAAAAATACTTCACAGAGTACTATATCATAGGGCATTAATAGAGTACAGTAAACACGTAGGAAAAGGAGTCTCTAGATTCCTAATTTAAAATATCTGCTGTTCTTTCTCTAATAAATAAAGACTAAGAAATAGCCAAAGACGGACTCAACACTGCAAATAACAGAGTAACAGCTTAACCAATGTTACGTCGTTGCCTACTAATCATTACGATGCATTAAAAAATAAATAAATAAATAAATAAAAAGTTGGCCCCATAGTGCAGCAGCAAGTGCTGTAGGCATAAAGCCAGATCTCACATGGCTAAGGCAGTTTGAGTCCCAGCCCTGGTGTCTTGGGAAACATGCCGGATAGTGTGCACAACCACCGTCCTGGCAAGATGGAGAGGTGGAGGAAAGAGGATTGCTATGCCCTGCTGGGAGTGCTCTCA